GACCTGGTTAGAGACGACGTTGCTCAGCCATCTTGACAGGGGTCCTTGTCGGGTGGGCACGTGTGGAGGGTTGGACAACGGGATGAGAAGTGATGACGTGTGCATGCTCCAGTTTGCACCCTGACAGGGTGGGAGGATGCCCTGCTCGCCCTGTCCCCATTCTTATCAGCTGGGATGCAGATGTGATGGCGGGAGGTGGAACAGAAACTTGGGCTATCAGAGGAGCCCTGTGTTAGGAAAGGCAGTGAGTCAGAATGGGCCTGGGCTCCCACCACACGGAGTCCATATCTACCCGGACTGTCTCCTCAGACTCAGAAATAATCTCTGTCTTACCTGAGTCACCGTATTCTGGGATCCCTTTGTTAGAGCAGTCATTCCTGTCTCCTAAGGAATGTATTTGCCAATCGGGAAATGAGGCGAACTTTAATTTATAGATTGCTAAAAAAAATGTGCTTTATAAAATCACTTTCGAGGATAACAGTGACTGCAAGGTGATGAGATTTTTAAAACGAATAACAAAATACATGAATTGAAATGTATCACAGAAGCCTTAAACGGCGTATTTTGGATTTGCTTTACAGACACTGCCCGTGACTACCGGACTCCACCCTCTGGCCTGACCTGGCGCACGACAAGCCCACTTGGTGCACCAGCGTTGATCAAGGCTTCCCTCAGGAGACGGGCGACTTGTCACCTCTCCGCTGTGCAGAAGCGTGGGCCGGGGTCCTGAAGGCGACGGGAAGACCACCGAGCAAGGTGTTTCACCTCTCCAGGTCCTCACGCTGAGGTGGGAAAAACCCCGTGCCAGCTCTAAGTGTCGTTTGGCTGGAGCGCCCTGTTGTCCCCGCCTGGACGACTCTGTGATGTTCCCCGTTAGGGACATCAGAGACTGACTTACACTCCAGACACAGTTCCTGTTCTTCGGGCATTGATTGCCTTATTCATTTAATCACTACCTCTTAAGAGATTTTTGCTATAGGGTGTATCCACTCCTCAGAGAGACAGAAAGCAATAAATCACCCTCTGGGGGATGGCCATGCCTCGATCCCTCCTCCTTCACCTCCTTCTCAAGATTTTGGGCACACACAAACACGCACCCAGTGTCTGTTAAGCTGCCGGGTCTGGGACCCAAACGGCAGTTGACTATATGAGAATCTAACGACATAACCATTATGCCATCTGCTGGTCCTAGGCATTTCCTTTTTTTTTTTTTAATTTAAATTTATTTATTTATTTATTTTAACTTTGACCAGAGAGGGACAGAGTGGGGGCAGGGGGTCTGAGAATGGCCTTAACCACCACGCCACCTGCTGGACCCAGGCACTGCCTTTTTAAAATTCACCCTATTGGGACCAGCAGGTGGCCTGGTGGCTAAGGCGCTGGACACTCCCACATGGCTGACCACAGTTCAAGTCCCAGACCTGCTGGCTTGCTTTCTCACTTTCCCTTGCTCTCTCTCTCTCTCTCTCTGACTCTCTTTGTCAAATTAAAAATAAATGGATGAATAAATTAAATAATTCTTTAAAAAAAATTCACCCTATTAAATTTTTTTTAAGAGGTTTTTGCTATAGAGCACGTGTGCTTACCAGAAAGACAAAGAGAGACAGAGAGACAGAAAGTGAGACATCACCTACCAGGGGGGATGGCCATGCCGCAATCCCTTCTCCATTCTCCTCTTGGGATCTTGGGCACGCACGCACATGTGCCCAGCGTGAGTTTAAGCCACCGGGTCCGGGACTCGAACCGCAGTTGACTACATGGGAGTCCAGCAACATAGCCATTACGCTAACTGCTGGACCCAACTTATTACTTTTTTTAAAAAAAATTAATTTTTCTATGTGAGAGACAGAGAGATAGGCATCCCTTAGAAAGGGCCTGTACACTGCAACCCACCGCCAGCCTCAGAAGGTCCAGATCAAGAGCACACGCATGTGCACACCTCATGGGCTCCTGGGACGCGAACCCAGGGACTTGCCCATGCGAGTCCTGTAACGTCACCACTGTGCCACCACCTGGCCCCATTCCTTCTATGTCTTACTGATCCGTGTTCTTATGTAAAACCAGAACAAAAGCAAAAAGCTAGCATTTAGGATAAATGGAGAACTAACTACTCATAAGCTTGAAGACTGACAAACACATGTTTTGAGACCGTTTTCTGCATAACCAAATGGAGCAGTGCTATCAATTCACATATGATAAGCCAATAAAACTGTCAAATCATCACTGGGTGTTCAGACAGAAATGCAAAATGCAAGAAAAACTTCATAGCAAATCACTGTTACAATGTAATTTTTACTGACCAAAAAGGAAAAGTAACCCAAATAAAAGCATTAACCTTGGTTCTATCAGACACAAAGAATGTGACCTTTTTTTTTTTTTTGGTCTTTTTTAAGAAAAGTAGACACAGTTGCTTGTTTCGGATTAGCAATTTCACTTGCATCAACAGATGCACATTTGCTGAATTAAAATAAAATCTGCCCTGTTTTTACAAAATGCCACACTTCTTTGCTTTGCTGATTTAGGTCATTAAAAGTTTCACTTAAAAAAAAAAAGGTTCTCCTTTAATTATCCTTCTTCTTACCTAAATTTAAACTTTGCTTAAAGTGTTCTAGAGAGGGAACCAGCAGTTAGCATAATGGCTATGTCGCTGGACTCCCACGTAGTCGACCGCGGTTCGTGTCCCGGACCCGGTGGCTTAAAACTCACGCCGGGCGCGTGTGCATGCGTGCCCAAGATCCCGAGAGGAGAATGGAGGAGAAGGGATTGCGGCGTGACCATCCCCCCTGGGGGGTGATTTCTCTCTTTCTGTCTCTATGTCTCTCTCTGTCTGTCTGGCGAGCGCACGCGCCCTACAGTGAAAATCTCTCAAAAAAAAAAAAAAAGTGTTCTAGAGAAAGGGATCCATCAGGCTAAAGGAAGCTAGGGAAACAACTGCTGAACTTCAAACCCACGCCGTGAGCTCTGTGGAAGCTCCCGCCCTGGATGATCCGTATGGAGCCTCGCGAAGACCGCACAGCCCAGAGCACGGGTCTGCAGAACCCGAGGGCGGTGTGCAGAGAACCAGTGCACAGTGAGGCCGACCAAGGCTGCGAGTGGGCTCACTACCCCACGTACCTCACACCTCGGCTCAGGGCTCGGCAGACTCAGGGAGGCTCTGCAGTTTGTCCAAATCAGCGGCAGCCGAGACGGGGCAGAATGAACATCTGGAGCCAGGGCCATCTGACTCCAAGGCCCATGCTTCCCCTCCACCTCAGGGCTCATAGTAAAAGTGAACAGTGTGAAATGACTGAAATTTAGCTAAGAATAAGAATAATTGGGCCCAGCAGGTGGCATGATGGTTAAGGGGCGTTGGACACTCCCACATGGCCGACCATGGTTCAAGTCCCAGAATTGGTGGCTTACTTTCTCACTTTCCCTGTCTCTCTGTCTGTCTGTCTGTCTCTGGTCAAATTAAAATAAATGGATGAATAAATAAAATTAAACAAATTTTTTAAAGTGAAATTTTAATGAGGTAAATCGGCAAAACAAAGAAGTGAGGCACTTTGTAGAAACAGGGCAGATTTGATTAGTTATCAACTGTGACAATAAAAACTGCTATCTATTTATTTTAGGGATATTTTTGCTATGGGACGCTTGTGCTCACCAGAGAGAAAGAGAGAGACAGAGAGATAGAAAGTGAGAAATCACCCCCCACCCCGGGCGG